ACACATACATGCACACACATACACACATATATACACATACACACATATACACATATACACACATACACACATATACACACATACACATATACACATATACACACATATACATGCACACACATATACACACATATACATGCACGCGCACACACACATATATACACATATATACACACATACACGCACATGTATATACACACATACACACACACACACATATACACACATATACACACACACATACACACACATACACACACACGTGTGCAGGAAACCGGGCCACATGCTAACCTGGCAAGCTAGGGGAAGGCCTGCCTGCGGCCTTGCAAACTCAAGACCTAAAGTAACCACAAAGGATGGTCTGAAGTTAAAACGTAAGCTGGTGTGGCTCAGTGGATAGAGCACCCGCCTACAGACCAAAGGGACCCGGGTTTGATTCAGGCCAAGGCACAGGCCAGGTTTGCGCACTTGGTCCCCAGAGGGTGTGTGTGTGTGTGTGTGTGTGTGTGTGTGTGTGTGTAGGAGACAGCCAATTAATGATTCTCTCCATTATTGATGTTTTTCTCCCTCTCCCTTCCTCTCTGAAATCAATTTAAAAATTTGTTTTTATCTTTTATTAAAAAGCAGTCTATGGTGGGTAGTCATGTCCTAGGTCAGCATCTTCTCAAAGATCATTTTCGATCTTTACTGAGCCAGGGTCTATTTGCATCTGAGGTAACGGTACCTGTGGGATGTCAGGGTAACTTGAGAAACTTCCCTTTGTCTGGACTCCAGGCACAGCCAATGGGGTGGAGACCACTACTTCTCTGATTTTATTATCTGTTCATTGTGGACTGTTAACTACCGTGTACTCACCTGTGTCTGCCGCTGGATAGAGCATCCGCCTGCGGACTGAAGGGTCCCGGGTTCGAAGCATGTGTCTATCATTTTACTTTTTATCCAATCACAGAGGTTCCCCCACCCCAGCCCCGCTTTGCTTTCTCCCACCTCTCTACCACCAATGGATGTCTTGTAACTCCTCCTTTGACTGTAAAGTATAAAACAAGGTGAAAAACCACCATTCTCCGGAGCATTATCTTAATTCCTTGAAATTCTTTCAGGCAATTGTCAACAGTTTGGCTCAAACTCACAAAAATTATTCACAGGTTTCTGAAGTTTACACTAGCATTAAACATTTGAGGCAATTTCTAGGCCCCAGACCAGTGTCTTCAGCTCACTGAGAGAGTTCGTATTGCACAGCAGGAACCAGTCCGTCACCCTCTCAGTGGCCCTCAGGTTGTGGTCCCAGACTGGCAACGTCACTTGGGAATTTGACAGAAATGCGAATTATTGGATTTCACCTTAGATCTACCTAATCAAACTCTAGGGGGGGGGGGGGGGGAGCCCAGCAATCCGTTTCAGTTTATGGATTGGTTTCAGAGAAATAGCTATTTGTTTTTCCACTTATTTATGCATTCATTGGTTGATTTTTGTATGTGCCCTGACTAGGATCAAACCCACAACCTTGGTTTATAAGGATCATGTTCTAACCAACTGAACTACCCAGCCAGGGCCCAGCACTCTGTTTTGTTTTTTTCAGGGTTGTTTGTGGTCTTCTCTCTCTCTCCCTCTCTCTCTCTCTCTCTCTCTCTCTCTTTCTCTCTCTCTCTCTCTCTATTTTTATTAATATTAAAGAGAGAAAGAAAAATATCAACGTGAGAGAGAAACATCAACTGGTTGCCTCCCACACTCACCCCAATTGGGGTTTGACCCACACCTTGGGTATGTGCCCTGCCTGGGGATCGAACCAGCGACCTTTCAGTGCAGGGGACGGTGCTCTACCAACTGAGCCACCCAGCCAGGGACCAGCACTCTGTTTTAACAAGCCCTCCTGGTGGCTGATGCACACTGGCATTTGAAAACCACCATCCTATTACTCCACATGCTTCTCTGCCTGAAAGCTGCCTCAGGGGAGTGGGCCAGGGAAGGTTAGGATTGTAAGGGGGCGTGCTCTCCCTGTAGGGGGCACTTCAGAGCCCCCCCCCCCCCCAATCTCCTTCCTCCCCTTTTAGGCACATTACCTCTGCCTCTCTCTCTCCTACGTCCCAAGGGCCCTTCTCCTACTTGTGGAACTTTCTAAATAAACTTTCTCTTATAATTTGGGGGGAGAAACTTTTTTTTTTTTTTTAAGTGGAAAGAGCAAGATATACGTGTCCCCTAAAGAGGAGTGACGTGAAAGGAGGAAAGTCACTGTCAAATTTAAATAAACTGCATCACACTTTGGGTCCCCAGCATTTTTCTTCGGATCCTGCCAGTCTGTTTATCTGGCAAATAGCGGGCTTCCTGTCCAACCTGCCCCAGAGGCCTCTGGGATGTGAGCACTCCCTAAGAAGCCTGTCTTTACCCATCTGCCATCGGCACTGTTCCCCTGCTGATCTCATCCCCACTCCTCCCTCTGCCTTAACTGTCACTGTAAGAGAGTATTTCCCGTAATGAACAACATAAACTGATGAACAGAAACAGACCTGGGGGCAGGGAAGCATCGATCAGACTGTCGGGCCTCAGAGGGAAGGTAGGGGAGTGAGGGAAAATGGGGAGAGATCAACCAAAGGACTTGTGTGCATGCATATAAGCCTAACCAGTGGTCACAGACAAGAAGGGGGGGTGGGAATACGTGGGGAGGGGTTTGGGATGAGAATGGGGGGATGAGGCCCATTATGTGATACCATAATCAATAAAGAAATTTAAAAAGAGAGAATATTTCCCAAACGTCTCCTTTCCAGCCCACCCTCCTGAGCTATAGGCCCAAATATCCAACAGCCTGTTCAGACACGCCCTCTAGGTTTCCCACTCCACCTTTCAATTCGCCCTTCTTCCTTTCCTCCTGCTTCCTCTGCCTAGAAAGCATGGCTTGCCTTTGAACAACTCTGTATCTACTAAGACAATTCAAAGACTGTCCACCTCCTTCCTGCCTCAAAAACAGTCTCCAGGCCTCCTCCTGCTGTCCCTTCCCTCCCCCTGGGAGACGTGGTTACTCCCCTTTTGCACCAATTAGACCTTTACAGGTGTCCACTGTGGCACCACTTACCTGCTGTATTCAACCACATAAACTTCGCAAAAACAAAACACAACAGCTCTGAAGATCGCCATCCGCTCCAGAATTCACGTGAAATAGGAGCCATTATGCTCCTCACAATGGAGCATTCCATCGGAGCAGAGTCTGCTTTCTGTCCGGTGAGAGCGGTGAGTGTGTCCCCCAGGGTGCATGTCACAGAGCCTGAAGATATTTTTGGTTGTCACAACTGGAGTGGGGAGGTATTACTGGTATCAAATGGGCCAGGGATGTTACTAAGTATTCTACAATACCCTGCATAGCCCCCGACAACAAATAATTTTTCAACCCAAACTCTGAATAATGCTGAGGTTAATAACATGCATAATCTTTCTAAAAGATAGATTGGGTCAGATTATCCCCTTGATTGAACTCCTCCGTAGCTTGCCACTGGAACTGGCATAAAACCCAACTTCCTGGCCGTGGACTAGTAGGTCCTCTGTCCTCTGGCCCCTGCCTACCTCTCTGGCCTCATCCCTCTTCAACCTCCCTCTCAGTCACTAAATCTGGTCAAACCGGTCTTCCAAACAAAACAGAGATTCTCTGGATCTCCGCCCTTGCTATTGCTACTACTGGGAATGTTCTTCAGTATATGTATCATCTCAGACGTTATCCATCTCTCACGGAGGTAGACATTCCCTAAGGATTCTAACATTAGTAGCCACTATTGCCATCAACACCACCTTTTACATGATAGGTACTAACTAAATACTTTGAATGAATAAATGAATTCTGACATTACCCTATCAAAGCAGGCAATAAGAATGCATAGGTGTGTGTTAGGGCTGGGAGTGGGATGTTGAGGTCCTGGCAAGGTTGTAGGAATGAATATCTGGGGAATATCCGAATCTTGGGAATGTGATGAAAGAAGGAAGACATGCCTAGCTGGTATGGCTCAGTGGTTGAGCGTCAACCTATGAACCAGGAGTTCATGGTTTGATGCCTGGTCAGGTCACATTCCCTGGTTACAGGCTCAGTCTCCAGTGTGGGGCATGCAGGAGGCAGCCTATCAATGATTCTCATCACTGATGTTTCTATCTCCCTCTCCCTCTCCCTTCCTCTCTGAAATAAATAAAAATGTATTTAAAAAAAGAAGAAGAAGGAAGACATGAAACTGGGTGTGGTAGACGGGCAGGCCTGAACAGGGAGCTGATGTTAATCACTCTTTTGACAAGAGAGAACTCTCCAATTGTGAGCTGGTGAGTGTGTGTAGACAAGTAATACTTGCCAGTGACTATGAAATAAGATAAAAACAAGTGACTCGAGAAGCCCCAAACTGAGTTTATTGTGGTATAGGCCAGGTGAGAACAAATAAGTGAAGTATATTTAAGTAAAGTCTAATATAACTGGAATATCTAAAATATAATGCCAGGGCAAAAAAACTGCTTCTTCTAGGCTTAAAAATCCCCAACAGAAAATACAAACATGAGATACTTATCTTGAAAATGCCAAGAAACAGGACACTATGCCAATCCTCACAACCTCCCAACCACTTCTCTGACTTGCCCATTCTTGCATCACCTCAAGTCATTAACACCTCTCCATTTTTTAGACCAAATTACTGGATAAGAAGTCTTTCAGAAGAAGGTGCCATGCTTCTCCTTGGTGCCATCTGGTTCAAGTCAAACGAGGTAACTTTTGCACAAAGGAAACTGTTAGGCCTCTCAGCTCTGGAAAGACTGACACCAAGGCCCCTTGCCACTCACCAAATCTAGAATCCTGACTCTAAAAGCTACTTGTGGCTAACTTTTCAGAAATGAGTCACATCATACAGGAGTTCCCATGCTGCTTAGACGCTTTACCTGGACAATGGGGTTTCAAGGTTGCCAATAAGCTGGCTTCAGTCAGCAGGGTAATTTTACCAACCTCCCCGTTTTCTAGGTATCCGATGAGAATCTGGCTCTGCTATTTAATCCTCACCATCTAGTTTCTCTTCCAACTGCCTCTTATCCAGCTGGCAGGAGCTTCCGAGAAACGTGATATAGTAGGCGCTGCAGTACACTGGCTGCTTGTTGGGGTTGGAATAGACCTGCTCGGGTTTGAGGGACGTGAAGGGGTTGGCTCCATAGGCGATGATGTGCGCATCCAGCTCCACCAGAATCTGCAGAGAGGCAGCCAACTCCTGCTGGCTGAGGGAGACAAAAGAAAAATTGCTCTGATGATAAAAGAGAGATAGGAGAGAAAGTGCTCATACCGTGACATTTCTGGACTCATCAAGCCCCCAAATTACCCGAGGCTGGACCAAGCAAAGGCTAGCCTTTCCTCCCAGATGTCTCGCTAATTACCAACTTACTACCACAGGCCTTTGTTCCAAAGGGGACGAGAGAGCCAAGTGTGAGAAGAAAGGAAATCCTCACCAGAAGGCAGAAGATGAGCAAGGGAGAGAGAGATGAGCTCATCTGTGTAAACAGAGGCCTGAGCGAGGCAGGGCGGCGTCACAGATAGAGAGGTCCAAACCTGTAAACGGTGATCAATGCAGGGATTTCATAGTCGCGAAGCAGCAGAAGGGTGGGCAGCCAAGCCTCCATCAAGTCGGGGGAAGCGTGGAAACCTAGGGAACAGAGAGGGGAACAGCTGAGGTAGACCCTAAGCCAGATACCTCTCCGCCTGTGTCCATCCCAACCTTCACATTCTCACGGCTAAGGCTCATTTACCACTACCACCCGGCCCAGGTTCTTGGGTGGAAAATTCTGAACCCAGGTGCAGCACATAAGGCTAATGACCGACGTCATCATCCTATTGTGTTTAACCTGACCTAGTGAACGTGGCTCCAAAGTTAGAAAATACAGAAGTCAGAAGATTCAATACCCAGAGAACCCACCCGGGATGCCCGGGAACCAGTCTTACCTGGATGGAACGCCACCACCAGGTCTGGACGGGCCGTCCGCCCAGTCTCCACCTGCTCCTCCCAGAAGTGATGGTAGAGGCCCCTGTGGCCGCTCAGCTGAACTCTGCCAGCTTTGACAGGCGACGTGGGGGTGCTCTGTGAAAAGCCGGTAGCGACGTCGACACCCACCATGATTACACGGAGGCCACGGTGTCCAGGAAACATGTAGCCAAGCTCATCGTAGTCCCCGGGGCGAGTGAGGAAGGTCTCCACGTGGGAAGCACCAACGACGTGCACCGTGCTCCCTCCCGCCTTCTTCACGTCCACCCCCAAGGCCCGGAGCCCGAAGCCCAGGGTCAAAGGCCGCGACAGGACATCTGTCAGGAGTCGCTTCAGAGAGTCCTGCAGGACATCGGGGTCCGGCCTTGGCCTTCCTGCACTGGCCCATAGCGAGGTCATGGCATGGCTACCCAGCACAGCCTCCAGCGTAGCATCTAGCTGTGGGCGTCGCATAGAAAACCAGGTGTCCCAGCCCTGGACCGCTTCAGCCAGCCACGGCCAGGGTCCCGAGGGTGGGACAAAATCTCCTGCGGGAAACAAGGAGCAACAAAGAAGGGACCTAATTCATCTCTGGCTTCGATGTTCCTTCTCAGGTTCATTCTCCCATTCTGTGACTAGGAAGGCCTCCCTACCCTGCCACTCTCCATTCTTCATTTCCCCCTCACAACAGCACACTTTCATCTCTCTCTCTAAGAACAACAAACGTTGACCATGATGGCAGAGTTCCCCAAGACCATCACTCCACCTGTGACCAGAAGCCACTCCATGAGACGGTCCACGGCCACGAGACACAGCTCTTGACAAACCCTCCTGTGTGCTGGCCAGTCTGACCTCTGGCACTCCGGACCACAGTAATAGACATTTCTGCACCTGAGGGAAGAAACCCCAGAAACATTTGTTCCTATATTTCAAAGCTGATTGGGAGACTATCTGGGGAAGAGAATTGGTATTCCTCTTCTTTTTTAAAAAATATATTTAATTTATTTTTTACAGAGAGGAAGGGAGAGGGATAGAGAGTTAGAAACATCCATGAGAGAGAATCATCCATCAGCTGCCTCTTGCACACCCCCCACTGGGGATGCACCCGCCACCAAGGTACATGCCCTTGACCAGAATCGAACCTGGGACCTTTCATTCCGCAGGCCGATGCTCTATCCATTGAGCCAGACCTGTTCTTAGGAAGAAAGATTACTTGGTGAGGAAGGCAGGGAGAGGAATGACAGCTATAAGTTAGAAGGGGAGGCAGGAGAGACTGGGAATGTAGTTTTCTCTTGGGTCAGAGTAACACCTCAGTCTCTATCTGCAACAACTCCCTTCTTACATCCCTTAAAGAAAAAGTAACTCCAGGAGTTTGTGGCTGCCCTCTTACCAGTGTACGCCTCAGCCCTCACCTCCCCAGAACAGATTACGGTCTTACCAGTGAGTACTCAAGAGGAGGAAGTAGAATAGTACTGTGGCCTCTGTCTGACTTCCCCTTAGCACGGGGAGCAGCAGGAGCCCAACCCTTCTCTAATCTGCCTGTGGCCTGGATCACTAAAATGAGGAGTAGGCCTTAAGTTTTTGTGAAAACGCTGACCTTTCCTCCGACAGTGAGGTCTTAGAACAGGGTCATTTCTGGGTGTCTCTCCTATTAGCCCTGACCAGTCACCTCTTGCAGTGCCGGAGGACCTTGGAGTCTGAAAGGCCACTGGGGAGTGCTCTGCAGTGAGCACAGAATCGGAATGTGTCCTCCATCTTCTGGAACATTTCTCGAAGGCATCGAAATCCAAAGCCTGATACAGGCTTATCCCCATCGATCACCAACCTGCAGAGACAGCATGAAAAGGTGCAGCAATAGGAAAAAGGGTATTTCCGAAGTCTCTCCTGACTGCTCCCTTGCCTCCTGTATACAGAAGATATATACTGTATTTCTACCTACTCCCATCTTTTGACTTAATGATATAATATATATATATATATTTTTTTTAATATGCACTTTTATTTTTATTTTCTTTTTTATTGGCTTTTATTGAGAGAGGAAGGGAAAGTGAGAGAGACAGAGAAAGAAACATCGATGTGAGAGAAACATCGAATGGCTGCCTCCTGCACATGCCCTGAGCAGGGATTGAAATCTGGGTATGCTCCATGACTGGGAATCGAACCTGTCACTTTTTGGTGTATGGGACAATGCTCCAACGAAATGAGCCACATCAGCCATTGTGTAAATTATATATTTTTTTATTTTTATAGTAATGAACTGGCAAAAGTCAGAATGAGAAAAATCCCTTTTTGCAAATGCTTCATTATTCCCAAGTTATACTCCCTCTCCACCTTCTAAAATCATTTCTAAGAGAGACTCCATATCACTTTTCCATAGAGCTAGTTACTCACTTGTACTCTTCATAGCTTTTCATGTTCAGCTTCTGCAGAATCAGCTGGGATAGGCCAGGAACATTATTGTCCAAGTAGTAGAAGCCAAGTGCATCGATGCTGGGGCCAGGTTTTGAGCGGGTCAGAGGCACAGGGGACACAGTTGTAGGCTGGGTCACAGCTGTGGGAGGGGTCACAGCTGCGGGAGCCACTGATGAGGAAGATTTCTTGTGCCTTCGTCGCCGGGGCCGGGGAGCCATGGCCTGTCCACTGATACCTAGGGGGCTATATGTAGACAAGATATAGAATAGAATTTTGCAAGCTGGATACATATGATGTGTTTTCATATGTTTGACCTTTCACTTCTCATTGTAGTCTTTCAGACCTAGGTATCAGTAAGATTTATTTCTGACCTACTAGGATTATTGATCACTACAAAGAAATATAAAGGGGGGAAATATTACATATGAGGTTCTATATCTATATATATAAAAGCCTAAGAGACCAAACAACTGAACAACTGGTCGCTATGACGTGCACTGACCACCAGGGGACAGATGCTCAATGCACAGGATCAGGCTCCCTCCTGTCTGAATCAGGCCTGCTGGAATTTGGCTCCCTCCTATCTGAATCGGGGCAGTGGGGAGAGGGCTGAAACCGGCTATCCAACATCCCCCGGGGGGTTCTGGATTGCCAGAGGACACAGGGCCTCTAATCTATATATAAAAGCCTAAGTACTGTACATCCATTCGACTGGTAGCTATGATGCGCACTGACACGCCTTCCCTCTCAGATGTCTCGCTAATTACCAACTTGGAAACATGGAGCAGACTGATGAATCTGGCCAAAACTGGCAGTCCCACATCCCCCTGAGGGGTCCCGGATTGGAGAGGGAGCACCAGGCCTCTAGTAAAATATAAATATGTCTATAAGTAATGCATAGAAAAAGGTCTGGCAGGGCTCCTCTAAAACCAGTAACTAATTAACTGGGGGGAAGAGGCACTAGGATAGGCAACTTTATACTTAAAGGCAACTTTTGAATTTTTATACAAAAAACCCCCCACTATAATAATAAAAGTATAATATGCTAATTAGACTGGACATCCTTCCAGACCGCCTTACAGACAAAGCCGGAGCTGCAAGGGAAGATTGAGTCCTGGGTGCCTGCTGACGGCCAGAGGGAAGCCCGGGTCCCGGGTACCCTTGCATCGGGCCTCTGGTATTCATATATTAGTATATTTTTAAAAAATCAACTAAAAAGAGGAAAAAAAGCACCATAAGTTTGGGCTGTCTCAAACTACCATCTAATTGAATAATTCAATCTAATTTAGTTGGAAAAGTAAAACATTCATTTTAAAAGGCCTATCATCACATTTATAGGCAATAAATCAAGATGTAAAAATTAAGTGAGCACCAGAATGCTAAGAGTTGCATAGTCAACGCAAGCAATGCAAATTATGAGAAAATTTTCTTAGAGGTGAGTTTGTATTTTTTTAATAATATATTTTTATTGATTTCAGAGAGGAATGGACAGGGAGAGAGAAACATCAATGATGAGAGAAAACCATTGATCAGCTGCTTCCTGCACGCCCCCTACTGGGGATTGAGTTTGCAACCAGGGCATGTGCCCTTACCAGGAATCAAACTGAGAACTTCAGGTTCATATGTCAATGTTTAACCCTCCTGGCCGCACTAGCCGGGTGAGACAAATTTCTTTTACGTAGGTGGGTACAGGACCATTAATAATTAATATTTACAGTATGTAGAGATGGCATTCAGGAAAGTGAGGAAATGATGGGTTCTCTGGCCGCCTGCTCTGATGAGGTGGGGGTGCCCTCGGGGGTCTAGAAAAGACCATGACTCTGACATTTCAGAGGGGTGTTAGTTTAGATGCAAAAAGACAACAAACAGGCTCACTTTGTTAAGGAAGACTGACCTTTGTCAAGGAAGCTATGGGTCTAGGACACACCTACCAGCATAACCCACTGTTAGAAGTTTTTATGTCCAGACCATCCTATGTGGTTACTTTTGGTCTGAGTTTGTAAAGCCCACCATACTGTTCTCTCCGAAGTTTGTCATGTTTGATACGTGGCACCTTTTCCATCCACACTAATTAGGAAAATGCAAATCAAAACCACGAGATACCACTTCACACCCTTTAGGATGACTATTAGAAAGAAAACCACAGGAAATAGCGAGTGTTGGTGAGGTGTGGAAAAATTGGAACATCCGTGCACTGAATGCAAAATAGTGCAGCCACTATGGAAAAAGTTACACATGTAATTACTATATGACCCAGCAATATCACTCTTAGTGTATACCCCAAGTAATTGGAAACAGGTAGTTAAACAATGCTTATACACAAATGCTCACAGGACCAGTATTCACAATATCCCAAAAGTATAAAACCCTAAAAGTCCACCAACAGATGAATGAATAATGTGGGGATAAAAAGGGGGAGAGGGCTCTATGGAAAGTAACCTCACAGGGTGATCTGGTCATAAATTCCTAACTGGGTAGGTTCCTCCCCAGATATATAACTTTTTAGCAAAAGAGTTATCTTTGCCTAACCCAGTTGGTGTGGCTCAGTGGTTAAGTGCCAACCTATGAACCAGGAGGTCACTGTTCAATTCCAGTCAGGGCATATGCCTGGGTTGCAAGCTCAATCCCCAGGGTGGGGACTGGGGGAGGGGGAGAGAGATCGTGGGGGCATGCTGATCAGTGATTCTCTCTTCTCATTAATGCTTATATCTCTCCTTCTCCCTTCCTCTCAGAAATCAATTTTTAAAAAACCTATTTTAAAAAAAGGATTTATCTTTGCCTTAAGGAAGCTCTGTCCATTGTTTCTTTTTTAAAACTATATATATTTTATTGATTTTTTACAGAGAGGAAGGAAGAGGGATAGAGAGTTAGAAACATGGATCAGCTGCCTCCTGCACATCCCCTACTGGGGATGTGCCTGCAACTAAGGTACATGCCCTTGACTGGAATCGAACCTGGGACCCTTCAGTCCATAGGCGAACACGCTATCCACTGAGCCAAACCAGTCAGGGCTGTCCATTGTTTCTATGCATCTAGGTGAGCACACCTATGAAATAAGCCTTACCACTTCATGAGAGCACATAATCTTAACTATCCTGCAATCCAATCCCCATCTTGATGTTTTCCCATCTCCATGTAATCTTCCTTAATTGCCTCTTTAATTTCAGTTGAAAAACTTATTCTCCAGAGCTTGTGAGATCTGGTTCCTCAGTTCGGCTCAAACAAACTCATTAAGAACTGTGACAGGTTTGGATGTTTCTTACTTTGACAATAAATTGGGTTATGTATGTAATGGAATATTATCCAGACATAAAAAGAAATGAAGTGTTGATGTATGGCTACAACATGGATGAACCTCAAAAAAATTATGCTAGTGAAAGAAGCCAGACATAAAAGGTCACATTATACGATTATATTTATATGAAATTTTAATAATAGGTAAATTCAGTTCTGGCTAGTGTGGCTCAGTGGCTAAATTGCCGACTCCTGTGCACCGAAGGGTCTGGGGTTTGACTCCCAGCCAAGGGCACATACCTGGGTTGCAAGTTCAATCCCCAGCCCCACTTGGGATGCTTGGGAGAGGCAACCAACCAGTGTTTCTCTCACATCAATGTTTCTCTCTCTCTCCCCTCTCCCTTCCTTCCACTCTTTCTAAAAATCAATAGGAAAAAATACTCTCAGGTGAGGATTAACAACAAAATAGTAAGAATAGGTAAAAACAGAAAAAGAATTGCAGTGGCAGAGCGGAAGGGGGTGTGGGGGGGTAACTGCTTAAATGGGTATTGGGTTTTCCTTTGGGATTGATGGAACTGTTTCAGAACTAAACAGAGGTTGTGGTTACACAACAGTATGAATGTACTAAATGCCATTTAATTGCTCAGTTAAAAAAAATTTTTTGTGTGAATTTCACCTCAATTTTTAAAAAAGGTATATGTAGAGATCAAGAAGCGAAAACATCATTAACCCCCAGATTGTCTCCAGGCACACGGAAATATGAGAGGATAAAAATACTGACAGTGGTTGGTTTGAATGAGGTAACTAACTATTAAAGTTCACACCAGGGATCATGTTTTGTTACAAAAATGGTCTGACATTTAATCCTTCCAGACCAAATTTGTTAGGAAAAAGTCTCTAGGTCATCATTCAGCTGCGATGTAGGTAGCAGAACAAACAAAAACCTTCCCAGAATCATCTAATACCCGTCATCTTGGGAACCCTTCCTCAGGTTAATGGAGGAACTAATTTATATTTTCCTTTGTATTTTTTTTCTCTCCTCATCCTTTCATCCCACTCTTTTAATCTCTCCCTTTGACCCAGAGATGAATGGATGTTTTCAGAGTCTACAAAACAGAGATAGCTAATCTGATCTGTATAACCTCTCTTCTAAAATCCTACCAATAAAGAAGAAATTATTATAAACTGATGAACAAAAAGATAGATACAGAGGCAGTAAAACATCAAACGGACTGTCAAATTATACCTAGAAGGTTAGGGAGAGGTGGGAGAGATAAGAGATCAACTGAAGGACTTGTATGCATGCATATAAGCATAACCAATGGACGCAAAACATTAGGGGGTGAGGACATGTATGGGAGTGGGTGGGGGCAATGGAAAGATATGTACACATATAATACCTTAATAAAAAATGGAGAAAAATAAAAAAAGAAATTAGACCTAACGATAGATTATTTTAGGACTTAAGAGTCATATTCCTTTACTAAAGGCAGATGGAATTACCTTCATGCCTTCACATCTTTGGACCATAACTGACTTAACTCTTTCCTGCACTTTTTTATCCTCACCCTAGAATATGTTTATTGATTTTTAAGAGAGAGGTAGGAAGAAATAGATGATAGATAAATAGATAGATAGATAGGCAGACATTGATCTGGAGGACAAACATCAATTGGCACCAGGAATAAAACCCAAAACCAAGATATGGCACATCAATTGGCACCAGGAATCCAACCTGCAACCTTTTGGTGTAGAGGACAACACTGCACCCAACTGAGCCACACTAGCCAGGGCCCCTCCACTTTTATTTTTTTAATTTAAAAAATATTTTTTTTATTGATTTTTTACAGAGAGGAAGGGAGAGAGATAGAGAGTTAGAAACACTGATCAGCTGCCTCTTGCACACCCTTACTGGGGACGTGCCTGAAACCAAGGTACATGCCCTTGACCAGAATCGAACCTGGGACCTTTCAGTCGGCAGGCT